CTGTACATGGATTGTATAACATCGAATGTTTTTTCACTCACACACTCACTCTTTCACTCACTCACACACACTCACTCTTTCACTCACCCACTCACACACACTCACTCTCGCGCACACACACACTCACTCGCTCTCTCTCATTCTCTCTTTCACCCACTCACTCTCTCATTCACTCACACACCCACTCACTTGCTCTCTCTCTCATTCACCCACTCACACTCATTCACTCTCACAGACATACTTATTCAGTCACTCACACACACTCATTCACTCACTCTCACACATACTCATTCACTCACTCTCGCACACACTCACTCACTCTCATTCACACACACTCACTCACACACACATACACTCATTCACTCTCTCTCTCTTTCACCCACTCACACTCTCATTCACTCACTCACACACTCACTTGCTCTCTCTCATTCACTCACACTCTCATTCACTCTCACAGACATACTTATTCACTCACTCTCACACATACTCATTCACTCACTCTCACACACTCACTCTCACACACACTCACTCTCACACACACACTCATTCACACTCTCTCACACACACACACGCTCATTCACTCACTCACTCTCACACTTTCACTCACACACACACTCACATTCACACACTCACTCTCATTCACTCACTCTCACACTCATTCACTCACTCTCACATACAAACACTCATTCACTCTCACTGACTCACACTCACACGCTCGCTCTTTCACTCACTCACTCTCACACTCACTCACTCTCTCACACACACACACACACACTCACTCTTACACACACTCACTCTCACACACACTCACTCTCACACACACACTCATTCACTCACTCTCTCTCTCACACACACACTCTCACTGACTCACTCGCTCTCACACTCGCTCGCTCTCTCATTCAATTCAATTCAATTCAATTCAAATAGCTTTATTGGCATGACAAAAATACATTTTGTATTGCCAAAGCATTAAGACAACAAAGAGAATGGTTTAACATCTGAACATTTACATTAGAACATCTTAACATACTTAACATTATTTATATATTATAACTAATATGTAATATATATCTAATATGGAAATGTCATGTCTCACACACTCATTCACTCTCACACTCACACACTCACTCTCACACACACTCACTCTCTCTCACACACACACTCTC